AGCAAACAAAAACATTATTCTACAAAAAGAGTTAGAGAGAGAGAGAGAATCAAATCTAGAGTGAGAAAATGTTCTGTTGCAGCTTTTTGATCCTTCAACTCTTGATTCCTCTTCTTTTTTTTCCCTTTTTGCTCTTGCCTTCTTTTGCCCAAAATGGTTTCTCCAAACCCCCTTTTTCTCAGTGCAAAACTTTTTATTTATACCCCCTCTTTTTTCAGCTTGACCTAGAAACTTGTGCAAGAATATTCATTATCTGACGTGTTCTTGCTGCAGCGAGAATGGAATTTCGCTGCAGTGAATTTGTTCCTAACTTAGCATTGCCAACAGCTTTATTTTCGCTGAAACGAGAATGAAAATTCGCTACAGCGAAAATCCTTCTGACTTGATTTGCCCTATATCTCGCTGTAGCGAAAATCTCTCTAACTTGGACATCTTTGCTTCACTGGACAGCGCTGCAGTGCTGGAAATTTGGTGCTGTAGCGTTGGAGGTTCTGTTTCCATGTTTTTCTCCTGTAAGTTGCATAGTACAAAGCTGTTATGGACCTCACTTCAACCTTCATTTTTTACCATGATTCCTTCTAATTTGGGCCAAGTGCTAAACATCAAAGTTCTAGCTCATCCTCTTGGCTTTCCATTGGTTCAAGATTCACCTCGATCGAACTTCTATAGTTCAATTTATGCTGTAAATACTTTAGACTATTCAATTACTTTTAAGCTCACTTGCACCCTCCTTTGCATTCATGCTCTAAGTCTTCGCATGTCCTTCAACATTAAGAGATTAAATAATCAGAGGCTGAATTAAGGGATTTTGATAAGAAATTAAGCTAAACTTGCATAAATTTAACTTGGCATCACATAAGTTAAACTATCTCTAAAAAGAAAACTAGAAACTACCTAAATATATAAAAAAAACCTAAAAGATTTAGCAAAATTCAAGCTCCAAATATGCATATAATAACTCTATATAATAGAGTTATCAATCATCACCAAACCATTTTCAGTCATAACTTCTACATAATATAAGTAGTCTGAATCTCTTTTAGCCATTGGCAACCTTCTCTTCCTTGTTGCTACTCTTCTCATAGTAATGGTAAGATGCTACACCAGATAGCGCCGCTAGTGCTAAGGGCTTGTGTGTGCATCCTATCAAAATCAAACACATCTCATCAATAATTTCACACACAAAATTGCTAATGAAAAATATGCAATTTGAGCAGGTTAATTATGCTTGGAAAAGAGAAGGTACCTGGCATGAAGAAGCCTCAGACTTGGGTTAAGAGGAGTTCTTACTCAAGTATTATAAGCCAATGATGCCCCAATTGCTAATGCCCAAATTGCTCCCATTACACTCATTGCACCCAATTAATAATTAGGAAAAATTCATCAACGATTTAAAAAATTTAAATAAATTCTTATTCTTTTATGTAGTTAATCAAATCTTTATATTTTTATTTTAAATCAAATAAACTTTTATTATTAACTGTTGCATAATTATCATTAATCAAAATATCAATTTTTATTTTATATTCACATGACACTAACATGAATGATGGAAATGTCGTATGGATTATGTTATCATATCATATATTATCATATATTATGATGAATCTGCATATTACATTAGCATTATATGCTATAAAATGATAAATTAATCATTAGTTATAAAAGTTAATTTGACTCAAAATAAAAATATAAAAACTTGATTAAATTAATAAAAAAAATTTATTTAAATTTTTTAAAAATAATTTAATAACTTTTTTAAGTATTATACTTTTTATTTAAAAAGATATTGCATTTAGAAAGCCTACAATTAATTAAATTGGGGGTTAGATCGGTGCATCACTTTCAGTGGGCTTTGCCCGACAACTGTGAGAGGGAGGATAGCTTTGTTCTTATTGTAGCCTAGGCTCGATTAAAACTGGGTTCCATTATATATATGTATATAGCTAGGCATCATATACCATAGTGAAATAATCCTAATATCAGAATTCTAACAACAATTACAGAATCATAGTTCTAAACATACATAACTGAATTGATAGAAACAGATAATGCAACAGGAAAACATGGAGTTAGGTTCTAAATGATTGACTGCATGAACCAGGCCACTAGAAAAAGCAAGAGGAGAACATGAAAAGCAGAGCTTGCCTTACCATCTGCCATTTTATGCATTGCATGAACAAACTGCTAAATTCTTAGCAGATGAATGAGCTAAACAAACATTTTCATGGAGTGCTCAAAATTAACTTATAAATGTCTTTAAGTTTCAGGTTGGATGATATGATAAAGAAATAAACACCCCTGTTCTTATCAGAAAAAAGGGGAATTTTTTGTTTCCTCACATCTGAGGTCCAACCACAAGAAATTGCTCAGCTGGGGTCATTTGGATGATGATTATGTGTTTGATTGCCTTTTTTGTTTCCAATGGCAGCAAACCATTATAAAGCATATAAATTTTAAGTGATATAAAAGGATTAGAAACACACACCAGAAATTCAGATTTATATTCTGCATATTTCTATGCAAGAGTGATTCATTCAAAAGTAACACCAAGATACACACTTCATACCAACAACAGCTGGTAACAGTACAAAAGAACAGAGCTCCAGAATCAGCCATTATTGCACAACAGCATAGAAAGAGTTCACATAATTCAGCAACCAGAAAAACACAGCATTAACGCTCGGCAATTCTAGAACCAAGCATCTCCTTCCTTTCCTCTCCACGGGCACCCTGCATTATTTTAATACTTTTGGATGATCTTTCAAAGCCTCCAGGCGCCTTGACATTTAGGAGCAAAGCAGCAATGGACTCCCGCAAAGGGAAAGTCTGTTTAACCTGTTGTCATCTGCAAAATATCATAATTAAAAAATCCTAAGTTAACCTTTGTTTTAATTTAAAAATTTAATTGATTTCTATTTTATTAATCACTGACTGCAAATGCAAGATATATTAAGCATTAAATAAACAACGACAAAGTTTTGTCACTATTTTTCACATAAAAATTAAAGGCAGTTAGTTGATACTCAGGTATGATACTCTCATCTAGAGATGTTTTAAGAGATTCTTACCTCACCCAAGGTGGATCGAAGGAATATGAGCTATCTTGAACCACTCCTTTCCTTTCCTCTTTTCAAGCTTCGAATTCAGTGAAGAACAGTCCGTGATACTAAGATGACATAGGGAGGAAGGTAACCCCTCTTCTGGCAAGGAACGCAGCTCGTTACACCCGTTTATTTCTAGAGATTGAAGCGAGGTGAGTTGCTGAAGCCCAGTTTTATCCAGGGATTTCAGACTCGAAAGGCTGCTGATGCGTAAAGAATTCAGATTAGTTGGCAGCAGCCGGTTCTCTGGAAATGACAACATGTCTTGGCATCCACCCTCAATCTCAAAATTACTAAGAGAATGAAGTTTATGTAATTCCCACCCTGTCTGAGGAATGATTTTGTCACAGAAAGAGATGCAGAGTATATTTAAGCTGGAAGGCAGGCGCCACGGTGGAAGTGGCTGCAATTCCCTGCATTTGTTTATGTGCAGTGATTGAAGAGATGTGAGGTTTTGCATCCATTGTGGCAGTGACTTGAGGTTGTTGCAGTTGGACAAAACAAGTGATGTCAAGCTTGGCGCTTCCAATCCCTCTTCAGGAAAAGTTGTCAAGTTAGGACAATCCCTGATTTCCAAGACCTCAAGTGACTTTAGATCGTTTTGCGAACCCTTCTCCATTGAAAGATATTCAAGTTTTTTGCAGTCCCAGAGACTAAGAGTTTTAAGGTTTGGGAAGGAATCCAAGCGGAAGGACCCCAGAGAATCACAGCTGCTTCCTAAACATAAATGTTCAAGGAGAATAAACTGATTCGCAATCTCATTATGTTGGGGAAACTCTAAGTTTCTGCAGTTGTGGATATAAAGTCGTTTCAGTGAACTTGGTTGATGAAGTTGAGGAAAGGTCTTGAGTGAATCACAATCGACGATATACAGACGTTGAAGAAGAGGTCTGTCCAGTGTTCCTGTAGGTAGGGACTCTAAGGCATCACACCTCTCAATTTTGAGGCTGGGCAACCCGGGGGGTAATTCCATTAATTTTGTGATACTTGACACTTTGAATGCCACAGAAGAAGGAGATGAGAAAGAATCATCCAGTTTCTTACTTGGTATGAAGTGCTCTGGAAAGAGAAAAGAATCATCCAATCTCTCATCACTTGGTGTGGAGCTCTGTAGAAAGCCAAAAAATTCATCCGGTTTCTTACTTGGTATGGAGTGCTCTGGAAAGCCAAAGGAATCATCCACTTTCTTACTTGGTATGGAGTGTTCTGGAATGCTAAAAGAGTCATGGCCTGAAATCTCAAACATGCTTGAAGGAAAACGAGATGCTTCTTCACCATCATTTCTTGACAGATTACCACCAATACTTCTCAGGCGCACCTTATCACAATTGGATAACTCCAACTTACAACTCTCTGGAACCCTTGGAAGTAAATCAGCAAGCTGCTGACATTCGGAGATCCTCAGTTCTACCAAAGAAGGAAGGCTCTTCGGTAAACCACCCTTCAAATTTGGACAGTCTGTTAGATTAAGCTTCTGCAGGCAGGGAAATTCTTCACCTTGAAGTGATACCCACTGTTCCCATCGTGGCATTCTTTCAAATGTTAAAGTCTTGAGAGACTGAAAAGGTTTAGAAACGGATTCATCCACCCTATAGAATTCATGGCCGATGCTACTGACATTGATGATCCTTTCAATTATGAGATGTTCTAGAGATGGGAGCTGTCCAAGTGGGGGCAAAGAGGAGCAATTATTGCAGTCACGGAGACACAGAAACACTATATTTGAGAATGAAGAGTCTCCCAACCAAGACGGGAACTTCGTGCCCCCATAAAATCGAATTGTAAGTTTTTTCAATCCTTTAGAAGGCTCTAGATTCTCCAACACTGCCGTGTCCTTGACTGGGTCACTTTCACTGTCGCTCCACTCCAAATGCAGTTCATTGAGATATTTCTTAGCTTTCAACTTGGCATATGATGCATCAGATGATGAGGATATATTTTGCAACTTTGAAACGGACAGTGTTCCATGAAGAGCTATAAGCGCCCCCAACTCTTTGATTTTCTGCCCATTGCCCACAATAAAATTAGTCAAGGTCTGAAGGCGTTTTAATCTGCTCATTTCTTCTGGCATCTGCTGCAAACCAGTTCCCTTAATGTGGAGATGTCTTAAATTAAACAGCTTTACAACGTTTCTCGGTAACATAATAAGATTTACACAGTTTGTCAGTATCAGTGTTTCTAGAAAGTACAGAGTACACAACGATTCAGGCAAACTTTGTAATGCACTTTCTGAGAGGTCGAGGTAACGTAGGTGTTTCAATTTGCCTATTGAATCAGGGAATTGAGCTTCTTGAAAGTGAGACAAAAGTAGGACTCGCAATCTTTGTTGTCTCGCCAAAATATTCTCCACTGCGTAAGAACGTAATTGAGAAGATCCATGATCTAAGGGAGAATTAATCAGAAACAAGGTCCTTAATCTGTTAGCTTCATCAGTGCAGTAGAGTCTCCCAGGGGTATCATATTGGCCGGTTACAATGGATAGATGGCGCGTTCCCTTAGGTATTGAACAATTGCCTTCTAATCTAAGACATACTCCTTCAGATGCAAAACTAGCCAAATCATGTATACGATCATGCATTTTAAAGTAGGAGCCACCAACTGGTGTAAAAAATGACCTATTTAATAATCCGTCAAAGTAATTAGCGCCTACCTGTTCCATTGATAGGCCACCAAACGCAGAAGGTACTAGAAGCGCCGCTGCCATCCACAAGAGGATCAGTTTTTCCTTCTCAAACTCAAAATCCGAGGGAAACAACGAGCAATAAGCAAAACATGGCTTTAGATGAGCGGGGAGGTGATCATAGCTCAATCTTAGAATTGGAAAAAATGATTCATGTCTGAATTCCAATGATATGCTCTTCAGTACATGATACCATTCCGGACGGGACCTTCTAAAAAGCAAGCGGCTCCCAATTGATTTTGCTGCCAGAGGCAAGCCATGGCATTTCTTCACAATCTCCTTGCCAATATCCTCCAGATCTTTTGCATCAGTTTCACTCATCTTAGCAAATGCAGACTTATTAAATACATGCCAGCAATCCTGGTTTGTTAAAAGTCTTAGCTGATAACGAGTGGAACACCCCATAACATCCGCAACTTCTGCGTTGCGTGTGGTAATCAGGATCTTGCTTCCCCATCCACCATCATTTAGAGGAGTTCGTAGGAGGTCCCATTTTTTAATATCTTCATTCCAAACATCGTCTAAGACAAGTAGAAATCTCTTCCCCGCTAAGCTTTCGCGCAGTCTACTTTGAAGCAGATTTAGGTCAGAGCCCTCAGGAATATGGCGAGTGATGGCCTCAAGTATCATCCTGGTGATTTTCATAACATCGAAGTCAAAGGAAACACTTATCCATGCTGTGAGATCAAAATGCCTCCGAACTAATACATCACCGTATACAAGCTGCGCAAGAGTGGTCTTTCCACACCCACCCATGCCGATTATGGCAATCCCATCAAGATCTGCATCCCCTGATAGCAACAAGTCAATGATGTGTCTCCTGTCTTCGTCTCTACCAACGACTTCGGTTGCATCTACAACAGGAGTGGTCTGCAACTTGTGTGATACTCTTTTCTTTGGGAAGTTAAAGTTGGGTTTTTCCATAACAAGGAAATCAATAAGTTCCACAATTAGCTTGATCTCTGATTGCATCGCCTTGCCATATCGTTCCCCAAAAGAAGGGTTGAACGTCCGTGCCCAGAGCCCTCGTTTTTGAGACTCAGGGTCCCGTTTGCATCGCGTGTCTTCGTATAAAAGCTCATCCGCCAGGTTGTCTGCGTCGTACACAACATCTTCGATCTTCTGAAGCCAGTTCTTCAGGCCTTCATCTTGTTGGTTCTCCTCTGCACCCCTAATCAGATAGCTAATTTTCATCAGCGATGAGTCAAGCGTTTGCAAGTTTGCAGCAAATTTCTTAGGTTTGTTTGGGAATTCTGATATTGAGCTAAGCTTCCCTAATACCACCGGAATGGACGTAGACAGAGCAGCCATGTTAGAGGCAACAAAGGGACTGCTTTTGCTCGATCTGGTGAGATTCCAAAGGTGGATCCGCGGTCGGAAACTAGTTATGGAGCCCCCGTTGATTTCTAAAGGCTTTTGGTTTGGGGACTAATATAAAGAAGGGCGAATAATTTCAGTTAGGTGCAATGGTAATAAACTTATAGTGATTGGGGGATATTAGTTTAAGTTATACAACAACCATGTTATTTTTGCATTCTATACGTATCTTCATGTATAATTGCTCCAACCATAAAAAAATAAATACTTGAATTTAACACTTTTTATATTTAAATAAAAATGTGATTTATTTTTTTTAAATATTATCTTATATGCATTCTATTGAAATTTTAAATTTCACAAGCGAGAAAAGTCAACACATGTCCAATGAAGTTATGTTTAAAAATTTTAAATATTAACATAGTAATTAAATGGAAATGCAACAAGATTTTAAACTTTCATTTCATTTATTTTAAAACCAAACTTATTTATCCTTTCTTTGTAAACATTTTAAAATTTATACAGCTGTTTGAGATAGTTTTTATTTATTTGTGCAACTGGTTATTTTAAAACAATTAGTAATTAACCACTAAACATAAAATACACTAGAGCATTTGATTCATTGGTAAGTATATGATTTTGTACTTTTTAAAATTAAATTAAAACATATTTTGCTGTATCAACGGGTTAAATAGTTGTCCCATTTAGAGATAACTTTTATATATTAAAAAATTAGGAATGAGATAAGCTGGAATTTGGGTCTGTATGGATTTGAAGAGAATAAGACTAATTGGGGAGGTTGCCCTCGGTATCAAAAAATTCCTTTGAGATCATATGTTTCTCTACAATAAAAAAAAATTGACAAACAATAACGATGAACATATAATGATTCTTTTTTTTATATATATATAATGATTCTTATAAAGTAATGATTTCTTATGTTTGAAATATTCAAAGTTTTGAATTTTAATTATCTTAAGTTCAAAATTAAATTAAATTAAAAGAACATGCCAACCATTATACATAATTTAAATAATTAATGCATAATTTCAATAATTAGAACTAATTAATTATATACTATATTCAGAGAATATGTACTAGAGTCAACTATTCAAGTATAACCCAACTTTTAATCTGAAGAGAAGAATACATTATATTTCCTTTATGCCAACCACTGTACCAGAACCTAGCCTCCCTCGATGATCCTTCTTGCTTTCAATAATTTTATTTGGAAGTTTATGTGCCATCTCTCGATTTAATTTAAATAATTAGTAGATAATTTCAATGGTTGGTTGGCTTTCCTATGGACGGAGGCTAGAATAAAAAATGAAGGAGATATTAACAAGAAAGTTTAGGGTTAAAGTTTAAAGGAAGTTAACATGCAATAGCTGCAAGTCTTGATTGAATTAACCAGCAAAGCACACATACAAAGACACTTGTTGAACACACAGACCATGCAACCATTATTCTCAACACCCCTTAACGCTTGTATTTTTCACCATCAACATTTTTCAATTATGTTCAAACTTAGCCATGAAGAGAGGCTTAGTCATAATGTCAGCAGTTTGATCATCAAATGAGCAATATTATATGAGAATTTCATCTTTCTTTGGTGCATCCCTCAAGGCATTATATTTCACAAGAATGTGTCTAGTTCTCCCATGAATGACTGGATTTTGAGCTATTGATATTGCAAATTTATTGTCAATAAATACCTCGGAAGGATTCATCAACGACATTCCAAGATCAAGTAGAAATTTTCTCAACCATATCCCTTGATTTGTAACTGCAGCAACTACTGCATACTTTGCTTTTGCTAAGGATTATGCCATTGATTCTTGTGTAAATTCCATGAAAACACTCCATTCTTGAGAGTTAATACATATCTAGAGGTACTGCAAACTTGGTTTGATTTAGTTAAGACAGATTCTCCATCAGGCTTGACTTGTTAACCTATACCAAGGAACCAAGATTACAATGCTCAAACTATTTACGCCAAAGGGTTGTCATATTCAATTTTACCTCAAAAACTGGATCACAAATATCTCTCAAACTCATACGATAACAATTTCATTTCATGGGAACATTCATAACAAACTTACCCGATGGATCATACACAGTACATGATTTATCCTTAAAAAGCAAGAAATAACCATCATCCACCATTTGGCTTACGCTTAGGAGATTTTGAGCAATATATATCAAGAATAATCAAAACTTTTGTGACATACTTGATTCCATTTGAATGTTAATTGTACCTATCCCTACTACATATAAATATTTGTCATCACTTATTTCAATATTGGATTGATGCAGAGTATCAAGTTTAGCAAAGAGTTCTTTGTTGGGTATCATGCGATTTGAACAAGCGTTGTCCAACAACCATTGATTCAAGTCAACTACGACAACATCAATCCATAGCACATTGATTTGTTGGGTATCAAGCAAAGAGTTCTTTGTTGGGTGGTGTCAAGGTCATAAACCATAGCTCTTCGACAACATCAGCCTTATTATTTTCCTGTGGTACCTTATCATGCTTCTCTGGTTTTTTTTTACATACATTCTCAATGTGACCTAATTGGTTACATGCATGACACCTTACACTAAATCTGAACCAACAGTAAGCCTCTGAATGATTCCTTTTTTTACAATGAGAGCATATCTGGAACTTGCTCTCTTTTCGTGAGTTTTGTTATACTGAACCTCTCCTTTTTCCCTCCTTCTAATCACTTCAGCCTTTTTTTATGCTTGACTCACCTCCTTCATTTCCTTTCATCTTTGTAAATAAAGCATTTTTAGTTGTATTATTAACTCGCATTACTCTTTTTTGCTCTGCAACTTGGAATGCATGCACTACATCAGTAAGAGTTAAGATTGAAAGGTCCTTTGACCCTTTCAATGATGAAATCGTAGATTCAAATATTTCTAGTAAAAACACAATGACCTTTTGGATTACACGGCTTTCAGAAAGATTCTTTGCCAACAATTGCACCTAGTTCACCACTCACATGATTTTGTTAATATATTCCTTAACATTTTCGATATCCTTCATTCTCAAGGTCTCAAACTCCTTCAATAAATTCATCACTTATATTTGTTTTGTCCTTTTTGAGCCTTGGAATTCCTCTCTAAGTTTGTCTCGTGCATCCTTTGCTAACTTGGGTCCCATTATCCTTATAAATATGGCATCCAAAACAACTCCATGGATACATGCCAACGCTCTATAACGCTTAGCAACTTCCTTGTTATGTTACTTAAATTGTGCGAGGGTTGTAGTCTCTGTCAGGATAGGTACCTCACTTCCAGATTCTATGACATCTCAAAGGTTGTAACTACGAAGATAAGCTTTCATTTTAACTGAATAAATTGTATAATTTTTTCTATTGAAGTTCGGTGGAGATTGATGACTAAGAATATTGACCATGAAGATAAAATAAGGGATAAGGGTGCTGTATGTAGCCACTGTTTAATGAATCATAAAAGAATTTAATAGAGATACGAGACATGTTTCAATGAATGGCATACTTTATTCATACAAGACAACCATATTTATGCTCATAGTAGGAAGTTACATGCATAGCATTTGTCAAGACATGAATTACAAGTTTTAAGTCATCGATTAAGTGTTAAAGGATTGCAAGTGTTAAAGGAGTTTATACGATGTTAACATGCAATAATTGCAAGTCTTGAACACGTACAAAGAACACTTGTAATCCTTGTTGAACACACAAACTAATCAAGTATTATTCTCAGCATTCTCAAAATGAGATTCTAATACACTCTAGACTCTCACGCCTACCTCATACGCCATTAATTACTCTTCGTGGTACCTTAACACCATCAATCTCAAAAAACATGAGTGAGGCCATATTTTGCAGTCCCCAAGCATCCTCGGGTGGGAGGCTCCGGCAGTGCTCAAAACAAAATGACTGAAGATTGGTTGGCAGACCAGCTTCCCCAAAACTAGAGAGATTTGAGCAACCAGATATTTTTAATTTTTGGAGAGATAGCAACCCTCTTCCAGAGAAGATTTCCAGAATGGGGCAGTCTTCAATTTTCAACTTTCGAAGAAATGTGAGATGCCCATGCTCGCTTTGCAATTCGATGGATCTAAGAAATATGCAACCCTGGAGTTTAAGCTTTACAAGTCTGGTGAAGCAGTCGAAGGAAAAAGTTTCCAGGTCACAACAGCTACTCCTTATGTGCAAATGCTCAAGCTTAGAGTACTGGTTTCTCCCATTCGGATGAAGGAATTTCAGTTTCCTACATTCGATTATATGAAGCTTTACCAGGGACGGAAGATGGTTCGGTAGATTCCCAGCCAGTTTGGGACAGTTGTAGACTGTGAGCTCTTGGAGGGAAGGAAATGCGCCTTCATCAGAGGAAGGTAACCATTCTTGCCAATATGGCATTGTTTCAAACTGCAAAATTTCCAAGGACCTGAATGGCTTGAGATTGCTTCCATAAAATTCAGAGCCCACGCATCGTAGTCGTTTCATTCGTACGATGTAAAGCTCTTGTAGACAGGGTAGTTGCCCAAGCGGTGGCAGTGAGGAGCAGTTTTCACAATCAACGAGATACAGGGACACCATTTGGGAGAAAATGGCATCCCCTAACCAATCTGGAAGTTTTGAACCACCAAAGTTTTTGATGCGGAGCTTCTTCAAATATTCATGAGGCCGTAACTTGTCAAGCACCTCAGTTTCATAATGTGCAAGATGAGTACCAGGTGCCCACTGAAAAATTAACTCATCAAGGTACTTTTTATCCTCCAAATTAGCCACTGAGGCATCTGCTGTTTGAAAAACATTTTGCAGGCCCTCAATGGAAAGAGTACCACGAAGAAGAGAAAGTTTCTTCAACTCACTAATTCTTGACGCACTAGTATTTTTGCTCACGACAAACGTAGTCAACGACTGGAGACTTCTCAAATTACCGAATTGTGGTGGCATCTCCTTCACCTTTGATCCTTTAATATCGAGATGCTCCAATTTAGTAAGATTTCGCATGTCTTTAGGCAACTGGGTAAGTTGGAAACAGCTTGACAACTTCAATGTCTCTAAATTATACAGAGAACAAACTCCATCATGCAGACTTTGAATTTCAGTGTGGGAAAGGTCCAAGTAGCGTAGATGTTTTAAGTTGCCAATTGACTCAGGCAGGTTAGTGATATGATAAGGAGATAATGACAATACACGCAGGCGACTGGATTCTGGAAACAAGTTTCTTTTTCTATCATCTGTCTCTGTCAGCAAGTTCCTTCTTCCATCATCGGAGTTCCTTTCATCATCAGATCCTGGAAATAAGCTATTAGAGATTATAGGAGTCAAAGGAACCCTACTGGAATTGGGTGACGATCTAAGCGGTAGGAAGGTTCGCAAACGGTTGAATACTTCATAAAAGGCCTCAAATTTGTCGGGGGCTTCATCACGATTTGGTATGCATGATAAATGGCGAACTCTTTCTGGGTTTAAGGGTAAGCTTTCATCCTCAAGTTTGAAAGTGAACTCTCCCACTATTTGTTGAGCTAAATCATTAAGAAGGTCATGCATTTTAAAACGTGAACAATCATGATCTGATCGTTGAAAAAATGACCTGCATAATAGTTCATCAAAGTACTGCTCACCCACTTCCACAGTTCTTCTTGTACCCTTTTGCTGCTGCACTAGTCCTTCTGCTATCCACAATCGAACCAAGTCCTCCCTTTCAATTTCATGGCCCTTGGGAAATATGGAACAATAAGCAAAGCATTGCTTTAGGTGAGAAGGGAGATGATAGTAACTCAATCTTAGGGCCGGGAGAATGTGGTTCTTACCACTTGGTAGATCCCATAACTTACTATTCAATACATCATCCCATTCCTTTGGCTCCACTTTGGAATGCAAAAGACCTCCGAGTGCTTTAGCAGCCAATGGCAGGCCTTGGCACTTTTCCACGATCTTCTTGCCAATCGATTCTAATGCAGAATCTCCATCAGTCAAATAGTCACTTCCAAAAGCATGCTTTGCAAATATTGACCAGCAATCTTCATACGGCAATGGTGTCAAAGAACGAACAACAAGAGAATGCATAGTGGATGAAACACTTTGATTACGCGTTGTCACGATGATCTTACTTCCGCCTGCCCCGACATGAAATGGTCTCTGTAGAAGATCCCAATCAGTAAGACTGTCATTCCACATGTCATCCAAGACAAGCAGAAACTTCCTTCCCATCAGAACCCTCCCCAGTTTAACTTGAAGTGCATTTAAGTCTTTAGCATTAGAATGCATCAACACGACTGATTCGTAGATTGTTTCGGTCACCTTGAAAACATCAGATGATCTTTCGGAGACATAAGCCCATGCTCTCAAGTTAAAATGTGTCTTCACCCTTTCATCGTTGTACACAAACTGAGCGAGGGTTGTCTTGCCAATCCCACCCATTCCTGCAATCGCAATCACAGGTATTCCATTCCCATTCATTGCACTATCTGACAGCAAAGAGTTGACTATCAGCTCTTTTTCATTATTCCTGAAGCATTCTTCGGATTCGTTGACCAAGGAAGTTGTAGGAAATCTTGGTAACGATTTATCACTTGGGCTTTCCTTCAGATTGAGGAAGTCTTTTTCTTCAGCTATACATTTTACCCTGTCAACAATCTTTGTAAGAGCAGTGTTAAGGGCTTCTACCTGTTCTTTTGGGGTTTGATACCCAGCTTCCATATCGCACTTTAAAACTTCACTTGTGATCTCAGCGAACAGATCCTCTGCTTCATACAAAGCGTCTTTCAGTTCATCCAGCCACTCTTGAACTGACAAGTTCATTATATGCGGCTGCTCCTCAGCGTCACTGAGCACTGAGTTGACAGCTAGGAGCTTGAATTTCAACGTCTGCAAGCTATGGTGGTCGAGTTTCTTTTCCCGAAAGAAGTCCAGGAACTTGCGAGAAGACATCTTGTCAAACAGCGCTCGAAGAGACGCCGAGAGCAACGCCTTTCCCACAACCCCTGCAAGCACAATTTCCCAAGGCATTTTCGCGTTTTTCAGAAGGAAGGATCGAAGGAAAAGAAGCTATTAGATTGGACTGGGAACCAAGACGAGCTCGGTAAGTACGATCCCAGAAGATGATAATCGGCTCGTCAACTACTAAACACAATTACAAAAGATTGAGAATAAGTCTAATCGTGCACAGGTTGCACCTCGCTGTCATGGATCAAATTTAAACTATGTTATCTGCAATATAGAAACTTATCTATTATGAGAAAATGGCAAACAAAAACGATGAATACTATAACGATTGTCTTAAACTAATGACTTCTTCTGTGTGACATGTTCATAGTTTTGACTTTTGATTATCTTAATTTCCATTACTTGCATTGAATTGGGAGATGGTGCACCAACCTTCAAATGCAATAATTATTGGAAATGCCAAATAATTACGAGGAAGCTAGGTTGAGTTGAATTTCATTTTTATAATATTTTAATTCAATAGACTCTTTATATCATATATTAATAATGATTAATTACCTTGTTAAAATTTTATCGAATAAAATGTTTGTTGAGTTTAACTGCAGCAGATGGGAGGGGAGCTGGCGTGCTGTGCCACAAGACAATTATCTTCTGTCTAAAAGATTAACCTAATGAGATGTATAGTAGACTTATCTTGTCTACTTCTTTCTCGAAAAGCTTGATGTGATAATTACATAGTGTTAATTTTAATAAATAAATAGATAAATATGGTTTTTATTAAAAAAATATATGGATAGAAGTTAGATGATGATTATCAAAAACTATGGAATCTTATGTACTGCCACAAGCATATGACAGTGATAATGAAATTAATTAATTAATTAATTAATTAATTAATTAATTACAACTGATTGTAACGTGTTTTGCCTTAAATAATAAGTAAATCATTTGTCAAGGTAGAGGTGTTGACTTTCCAAGCAATGGCATGTTGAAATATGGGCATGGGGGAGAGTTCCTTTGCATGGCCCTTCAAAATTTTTAAAATTTTTTATATATTATATATTTTTTAAAATAATTTTTATTGAATAATTGATATAATTAAAAAATAATAAAATGACTTTACAAGCATGATTCAATTTTACTTAAATTCTTAAAATTTTTTTAATTTTTTAAGTTTCTCCACCCATATTTTCCTCTTTTCTTTTTTGTCCTTGTATTGTGAAATTATAAAAAAAATAAAGTGTTTATTTAATTTTTTTTATATATATTGCTACTATTATTTATGTTTATTTATTTATTTCAATTCTATTCTATTTTCTCATATATTTTAAGTTTTTCTAGATTTTCTTTTTTAAATTTCTACGAATCATCAACCATATTATTATTTTTTATTATATAGGTTATATCTCCTACTTATCATAGTTTTTTTTATTATGTGAATTTTATTTTTAATGATTTTAATTTTTAAAAATTAAAAAATTATTGTATATATAATTCTCAAATATAAGTTCTAGTGTTGCATTATTGGTTATGGTTTAAAATTTCACCAATATATTATTTTTTATTAATCCTAACTATATAAGAAAAGGTATGTAAAAATAAACGAGAGAAGCATGGTAAGGTACCACAGGCAAATAATAAGGCTGATGTTGTTGAAGAGCTATGGTTTATGACCTTGACACCACCCAACTTAGTTGACTTGAATATATTATTTTTTATTAGTCCTAACTATATAAGAAAACTCTTAATCGATTGTGATTCACTCAAGACCTTTCCTCAACTTCATCAACCAAGTTCACTGAAACGACTTTGTATCCGCAACTGCAGAAACTTAGAGTTTCCCCAACATAATGAGATTGCGAATCAGTTTGTTCTCCTTGAACATTTATGTTTAGGAAGCAGCTGTGATTCTCTGGGGTCCTTCCGCTTGGATTCCTTCCCAAACCTTAAAACTCTTATCAATTTATTAATTAATCATTTTAAGATATTTGATTGGATAAAACGTTAAAAATCAAGTCAGCAATTAAAAAAATTCAATTAGTAACAATTTTGGCTGCATTATATGTCAATTCGTATAATGTTATCCTCCCGAATGGCACGTCAACATGCCATATCATTGACACGTGACATTAAATTGATAATTGTTTTAATTAATAGTAATTAATCAACAATTAGTGAAAGATTTATTTGACTTTAAATAAAAATAAAAAGATTTAATTAAACGTAATAAAAATATATGAACTTAATTGACTTTATTTTTGAGTTCATATACTTATTCACATATATATATATATATATTTGTACTTGTTTCTCTTTGGCAGAATATTGTATAAATGTATCTAAACCAAAATAAAAATGATAGGCAAATCTTATGGAAATAATCTGTTAAGACAATTAAAATTCTTTAGAGTAATTAGGATTATTTCTAAATATATACAACTTTCATTTCACTTATTTTAAAACTAAGCTTATTTATCCCTTCTTTGTAAACGTTTTGAATTTTATACAATTGTTTGATATTTTCTCTTGTATTTTTTTTCATTTCTTTGTGCTTCTTGAAAAAAAAAATTGTTAATTTTTTTCTTTAAATATGTCAATATTGATAAAAATGGTGATGCCTTAACAATGTTATAATCGATTAGAATATATACCTTGACCTAGGTTTAGTATTGCGGATTATCGATCCACGGTTTACCATGTTTCCACCACTAAACACAATTACAAAAAGATGCTGGAAAAGATAGAGAATAAGTCTAATTGGGCAAGTTGCACCTCGTTATCTTGGATAAAAAAAAATTCGTTTTAAATATGTTCTCTGTAATAAAAAATTATCTATTATGAAAAAAAAACGACAAACAAAAATGATGAATATATAATGATTGTTTTACATTAATGACTTCTTATGTTTGGAAATGGTCAAAGTTTTGAAATTTGATTATCTTAATTTTATAATTTAAATTAAATTGACAGATGGTGCACCAACTTTCAAACAAAATTATGTTAAAAATACCAAATAATTACGAGGGAACTAGCTAGAGATTATAAATAATGGTGTCGAGATGAATTTGGTTTTTATACTATTTTAATTCAATAAATTTACTAAACTAGATGATGATTTGGAATCTTATGTAATAATTAAATACAACTGTGCCTTAAAAATAATTAAATCATTTGTTAAACTAGGTGTTGACAAGCATGGAGTGACTTTCCATGCAATTGCATGTTGAAATATGAGCATTATTCAAAAGGGTGTATCGAAACCAAAATAATTCTTTCTTTGTGGTACGGCCGAAAATAATACCATGTTACTGAAATGTAATTGTTTCATCTAATGGTCCATTTGAGATTACATCGCTTTGTTAGAATACAAGATTGAAAATAATAGAAATTAAGGAAAGTCTTTCAAGGCAATGTGGCAATGTCACTTTTTTTTAAAAAAAAAATTAAAGTCTTATTTGTTTTCATTAATTATTTAATAGATGATAAAAATGTTATAAACGATAAATTTTAAAAGTATAATAAAATCGAGTAATTAATTATGTTTTTGTACAAATAAAATTATTTCACTGAACATTTATTGATGTATAACACTTATTTACTTTTTTAATTTAAAAATTAAACTTCAACTAAAAATAATAATTGCCAAGTACTAAGTATCAATATTAAATAATTATTTATTTATGTGTTTAATTACAAAGTCCAATCACATTTGGACATTGGGCTCTGCTTTAGTTCAAAGGCTTTCTTCCTTTAATTCTTTCAAGGCCTGATTGTAGCCCACATTACTCAATTCCAACTTCATTGGACATGGGCTTCTTCATGGAATGATGCAGGTCATTGCCTGCTACGAAATTCCACCATTCTCATCATTATCAAACCATTAAAGCATAGGGAAACATTAGTAATTAAGATTCATTGGTATCTAGCATGATCTCTTCTAGGCAGTGACCCCCTTCTCTCACTTGCTGCCACTCTTCTCATATTAATTGTAAGCTGCTACAACAAATAGCACTGTCAGTATTAAGGATGTGACGATTCATATTTATTTATATTAATTGTATCGTGTAAATATAAAGTATTAACAAGTAATATATGTAATCACAAACACAACACAATACGATTGATAACATACTTGTTGCATTGCGGTTAAGTGCACAATGGGGGCTTGGGTTTGTGAATGGGATGTTAAGTATGAATAAGGACTCTGTGAAGGTCAAATGTGCAGTGCAGTTAGTTTGTGTGCCTAGATGTGTGACCCCGAATGCTATTGGTTACTGTCAGTTTAATTTTCAAAGGACCAATTCCTCATTTTCTTGCTTAATCAATAAAATTCAAGTTCTTGATTTGGGATAATCAACTCACGTTTGGTGTTGAGTTCTTGAATTGGGAGGATGATTATGTGTTTGATTGCCTTTTTTGTTTTCAATGGCAGCAAACCATTACAAAGCATACAAATGTTAAGTGATATAAAAGGATTAGAAACACACCAGAAATTCAGAAGTATTTTCTGCATATTATATCCAAGTGTGATTCATTCAAAAAGTAACAAGAAGAAACAAGAGTTCATACACACTTCTTGCCAGAAATAGCTAGCTAGTAACAGTACCAAAGAACAGAGCTCCAAATCAGCCATTATTGCACAACATCATAGAAAGTTCACATAATTCAGCAACCAGAAAAACACAGCATTAACACTCAGTTTGCACCAAGCATCTCCTTCCTTTCCACTCCCAGTCCCCAGCACCCTGCATATTTGGATATTTTTGGATAATCTTTAAAAGCCTCCAGGTGCCTTGGCATTTAGGAGCTAGTGACAGAGAGGAAAACAGCAATCCACTCCCACTCTCCCACAGAAGAAAGTCTTTCAAGCTGTTATCATCTGCCAAATACCAAACATGAGAATGCTAATAGCCAAGCTAACCACAAACCTGAAATGAAGAATGATGATTTTTTGTGCATGCGATTTTACTTGCATATTAGCATATTATAATGACACCTACAAAAATGTTTACTAGAAGCAAACATTCAATGTTGACTAATCTGTTTTCAATCATCTTTTTCAT